GTCGAACAATACTCGCAATTTGCTTAGAGACTTTGCAGTCGAATTTCTATCATGAGTAAATAATAAATTCATTTATAATAGGTTCAATGAGATTGGGCGTAACAAAATACTTTGTGGATCAAACGATTTTGTGTCTGGCTACAATAACCGCAATCATTAATCAGCAAATGTAGGAATCATTATCTGCCCTCCAGTGTTGATTACATTGTAGTCCTTAGCGAATTGACCGCAAGAATGCAATATTTTGTCGTGCTATACCTGAGCTAAAGGGTGATGAAGTACTCAATAACTATAGTGCACTAAAGCTTAGCTTGCTCAAATCATGAGAAAAGCTTTTGACGCGATTAATCGGTGGAGCTTCAAAAATGTACGCATCATATACCCTAAGTGGCAATGACCAAATTGCGGGCTTTGGTCAAAAGTTGGGGCTCATCGCTGAATATTGATCTTAAAAACACAGGTTTTCGAAAAGAAACCTAAAAATGTTCCCGTGCACCCCAAGAAGGCAATAAGCGAAGTTTGAATGTGTTTCCGAGCCAAGACATGGTATTGAGGGCTTTGTATTTTGCTTAGCTGAGTTGTGCAGGGTCAAAGGCTGTGTAATATTGCTGTTTAACTTGGTTGAGGATGGTCGACTACCATCATCGCTACAAAGGAATTCAAGCTATCCTAATATCAACAGATGTTTTCTCGAGGAAGGAATTGCGAGTCTCTGGTAGAGAACGGTTAAGCTGACTGGGGTTTATGGCAAGCGCATCAAGATGCTATGTACTGAACAGTCCACAACTCGACAGACGAATGCTGTAACGGGGTTAAATGTAATCTGGTATGAAAGGGTGAGTCACACAAGATGGTGTAACGGTGTGGATTATAAATGTTGGTATAATCACACAATGGTGTGGCTACACTGTAACAAGAAGCCACTTCTACCAATAGTTATGTCCATTGATTAGGGTTTACTATTCAATTAGGAAACCCTAGAGACTTACATATAGGCGTCTTTGCCGCAAATATAACAGATAAATAAAGTTTCAATTTGGAATGGAAGGGTGTATTTGCTTTGGGTTAAGGTTTTGGGTACTCTTGGAGGATGCGGATAGCGATCCGCTACAATCGTACTCGTTATAGTATAGCACGTAAGGTCGGTGACCTTAGTAAGCTTCCTCTGAGCAAAAAGCTACGATAGCCCCGCTGCAAATGCTGTAGGTTGGGAAGCTTGCAGAATCGGTCAATGCGTTGAGTTTCAGCGTTTCTCATATGTCAGCTGGGGCATAAGCGGTGCTGTGGCACTGGGCAAGAAGGTCGGCAAGGTCAATGTGCTTGACTGCGGGCAAAAGAGTTTTGTTTGTGGAGTATGCAGGTTGGCAACCAGTGGGAGCTCTGGCACGCTCGCATGGGACATCCAAGAGAGAGCAGTATGGCTCAAACGCAGGGTGCCACGAACGATAATACAGTAATTCGTGACATCAAGACTTTATGCGGTAGATGCATGAAAGGGGGCAGACCGCGACACCATTCCCATCACGATGACGTCCAAGACACCACGCGTGTTGGAGTTAGCTCGCCCCGGTGTGATGGGACCAATGCGAACAGTTGCAAAAGGGGTAGCACGTTATGAAATGTCATTTTTGAATAATTTCTCACGTAATGTGGTTGCGTACTTCGTGAAGAACAAGAGCGAAGTTATCACTCAGCTTGTCGAGTTAAAGGCAAATTTTACAAGAACCAACAATAAGAATAAATCAAGTGTCTCCACTACCAAATTCGCAACCAGGAAGGTGTACTCGGCATGACAACATGCGCCAGCGTACTATACCATACCACTCAATCCTCAGCAGCACGGAGCGTCTAAGCGAGTAAACCGTACGATCATGGAGAAAGCTCAATGCATGCAGCGCTACAAGGGTGAGTCAACGACACGGTAGGCAGAAGCTGTGAGCGGCGCAGTGTATCTGATCAATCGGTCGGTAAATACTGAGCGATCGAGCATCATGCCATATGAGGTAGGTTTTGAGGAGAAGCCGCAAATAGAACAGTTGTGTGGGATTTT